AATTGATTCATTAGGCTTAGTTGAATGTGGATTTTGGACTTTATTACTTAAGTCTCAATTGTGTATATTTTTTTTCTCTATCTATTTATTTATTTATATATATATTTGCTATTTATTCTATTATGTTTTAATATTTTTATGTTTGTCCATGTTCATTAATATTATCTTAGGAATTGTTGAATAATGATTATACTATAGTATGAAATACATGTAGGTATATTTTAGAAAGCTAATTGGTGGATGATTTATGAAATAAGAAACGAATATTGAATAACAAGTGATAAATAATAATTTCACGATTTAAAAAATGATTTTTTTTAGAAAATTTTTTTTATGGAAATAAAGCTAAAATGATAATTTAAGTGAAAAAAAAAAACTTGAAAACCTTGTCTAGATGATGGAGGGAATTCAAATTCTAGTTTTAAAAAAATTTTAATTCAGCCTAGATGTTGGGGAATTAAAAAAATAAATAAAATAATTAAGTTAAATTAAATTAGAAGTTAGAATATAAAGTAAAATTTTCATAAATAAATTAAAAAAAAAATTTATTTCATTTTTAATTTTTAGAAAGAAAATGATAATAAGTAAAAAGGGAAAATATGCATAAAATTGATTAGTTTAGTTGTTTTAATTTTTAGTGTTCATTTGCATAATTTATTTGCTCCATGTCGCATCCTTATAAAACTATTAAAAAAAAAAAATTATGAAAGGCAAATTTGTTTCGAAAGTCTGCTTAAAAATTAGAGATAATTGAGAAAGTTCGGATTATTGATCATTCTTATTTTTCTCATAAAATAAGAATAAAAAAGTTTCTCGAAACCCTAAATACATAAAATCTTCGAAACTCTAAACCTTAAAACTCGAAACTCTTCAAACCCTTGAATCTTTAAAATTTTAAAACCCTAAATTTGTAAACCTTAAATTTTAAAACCCTAAAATCATAAACCCTCGAAACCCAAAAATCCAAACCCAAAAAATTCAAAGCCCTAAGCCTTCCAAACCCAAAACCTTAAAACCAAAAACCTTAAAATCTCAAAATCCCAAAACCAAAATCCTAAAACCCAAAACCTTAAAATCTCGAAACTTCAAACGAGATCCTAAATCTTATAAATCTATCTAGATCTTAAATTTAACCCAAACCCTAAATTTAATTCATAATCCCAAATAATCACCTAAAAATCATTTATACCTTAAAGTCTTAATTTAAACCCATACCCAAAACTATCCCAAATTTTTAAGAATACATATGAAAATCTCACGTGATGTAATTTATTCCCAAATGTCACTTAGAAAATGGAGTATTTACAGAATTTTATTTCATTAAGTTTTTTTTTTCATATAAGTCCTTAAACCCTAATAATAATGAGTTTATATAAAATAAAAATAAAACGGAATCTTAAATATAAAATAGTTGCACCTAAACTTTACCTAGAGATTGGGAAGTCCAGTGATCTCATTATTTTTAAAAGCCCGATTTCAAAATGGCATTTCATTGTCGTGTATATCATCTATTGGCGTATACTCAACTATTTATTGTTACTTGCATTCATTCCACATATTTATGTATTTTACTATTGTTTCTTAGTTAATTGTAGCATCAACAGTTTCTTTGCATAAATTTTTTTTGTGAAAAGTATTATTTAAAAAATAGATTTTTAAACAAAACTAAATTAACATTTTAAGGAAAATAATTTTTGATACTTTACCTAGATGTCGAAGAGTCACTAATAATTATCATTTACAAATAATATTATTTTTATTTTGAAAAATCTTATGGCAAGTCTTAGATAAAAAGAGCTATTTATAAACTCTGCTTATACGTTGAAGAATTTTAAGATAATTTTTTAACTTAAAATTTTTTTGATATTCTTAAATAATGAATTTTAATAAAATTACTTTTTTTTAAAAAAAATGAAGGAAATTATTATTCAATTTTAAATTGAAACCATTTTATCTAATACTAAAAATAACGCATGATTAATTGATATAATTTATAGACGTTGTAGGGGTGCTAATTTTTTTCTACACATAATCGATTCTTAAACCTAATTTTAATTTTTATAAATCAAAAATTATTTTTTTAATAAACTTTAAACCCATTATTATTACTTTATTAAAAAGATAAACGTATTATACGATCAATCGCATCTAATAAAAAAAATTAATAACAATTCCCTCATTTTTCATAATTTTAAAGTTAAACGTGCAAGGTTCCCAAAACCCTTATGACAATGTCAGATTGATTGGTAGCTTTAGAAATTTTGTTTTTTCATTGAAGACAATTGATGATTTCATCACATACTTAAAACTACATGACTCGTAAATATGGACTCTTGAAATTTGAAAATTTGTGAAGCTATATAATTGTGCTCCTCACCTAAGTCAAATTCAGGGGCCATTTTTTTGCCCCTTTTTGACGTCAGTTTTAACCTACCAAGCACCAGTTAACAGCAAAAAAGGAAAGAAACCTCAAGTTCAAGATGTGACCATATTTCATTTGAATAGAATTAAGCAAACCTTGCTGCCAACCAGAAAGCAAAAATTTCTAGCTTTTCAAAAGCTTGGGAATCTAAACAAATTTCTATGTTATTGTTACCTAATATCCCACGTATTTGTAAATAGCTAACTTACACGTTGCTGCTTAATTACCTTCATCCTTTCTATCACTCGACTTTTTCACTGATTATTAAAAACCCATCAAAACATTTCCTTTTATAGTTTCATTTAGGATGAATAATTTTTAATGTCATGAAAGATCAAATAGTAATAAAATGATGAATTCTTAATTTTAATAATGAGAGTTTAATCATTGGCAATTTTAAATAAAAAAGTCAAATATTGTAACCTCATGGAATTGTAGCAAATCCAGCTGCATATTCCAAGGATTAAATATACCAAAATTTTTGTGAAAGTCTGGTTTCATCATTTCCCATTTCCAAGTTCCTCTGGCAGCTTTGCTCTTCCTTAAACTAGTGAACAACCAACTTTTTTTTTTCAAAAAAATGTCCCGCAGTCAAATGTGGAACACGAAAAGGGCTCCCTTGTGAAAGGTCCTGCTAGAAGTAGAACAACTTGCTAGTAATATGCCATGTTTTTTAGGCAACCGCCACCTGGAATCATTGAATCTACACAACAATAGTCATCACAGTAATTTTAATTCTGCCGAATTCTCCTGCGCCGGTTCCAACCTGCAAATGCTTGATCATCTTGACTCGATGGATCAAGACATTTGAAGGGAGAGAAAAAAAAGATTTGGTTACTTTCCTATTAAAACGAAGTTTTGTCAATTATGATCATATTTAACACATAAAATTATTATGATAATATAAAATAAGATTATATTAATAATATTATTTTATCTTATATTTAATGTATATAAAAATTAAGATAAAATAATTTATTTATTAATTAAAATTATCTTTCTTTAAAGTTTATATAATTTAAATTATTAATATAATTTTTAAAAATATAATATAATAAAACATGTAAATTTAATTTCATAAATTAAAATAAATCTTTTTCACTTTAAAAGGATTATATTATTATATACCAAATGAATGATAATCATCTTTATAATTATATCATTTTCAATTAAATATAAATAAAATATAATATAAACTAATTATCATACTATTTTTTTTTGTTACATCATAAAGGCAAAGATCTAGAACAAAAGAAATGAGAGAAATCTGATTCAAAACCAACTCCTTGATGTCCCGTCAAGGGTTTTTAACCATTAAATTAAAAGTTTGAAGATTATCTATTATTTTATGCACCAAACATGACTTAAAATCTTACTCTATGAAAATCAATTGCAAAACCTTCGTGCTTAAGGCTTCAGCGCCGACGATAAAATGATCCAATAGGGAAGCTTTAGCCTGTTATCTGTTTTCCCTAAGATAAAGAGTTAGTCCAAGACTACCATGCTTAAACATGAAATAACTTAATCAAATGGCTTTAACTTGCGGGACAGCTGTTAAAAACTTAAAGTTGCCTGTATGTTTAAGGTCCAAAAGCAATTGCTAAACAAGCCTCCATCTTGTCACCAAGCTATTCGTTCCTGTGTTCATGCAATAGTTTCTCAATTGGACAATACATGCATTTCCTTAGTGCTTGAAATCCTTAAAATAGTATGATTTTTCACCAGTAAAAGAGATTAGAAGTGACTTCGGAGAAAGGAGTATAGGTGCAAAAGACGGTATCTTGAAAACTGCTCTGCTACAAAACGGAGAAGGAACAGGGCATAGCTGGTGAAAATTGCAGTATTTCTATGATTTCCAGAAGCTATTGAGTGCTGTCAGTGCTGAAATCTGTGAAAGACATTCATTTGAATAATGCATGTTAAAATATGCATCAAGGAATTTCAGGGCAGCTTTCATTTTTGAATCTCAAAGATCATATCAGCAAACAATAATAAATTCTAAGAGCGGGTCTGGTTCGAGAAAATCCACAAATTTTTTTTCAGAATTTTGATGATGGGTATTGATTCTTATATTTAGTTCAGAATAATTCGATTACGAGAGAAAATTTAACATTTCTAATAGTACCTAAAATCTCGAAATTAAAATTTCACCTCTCTCTATAATATTCTAAAATTCCTGAAATAGTGAAAGACATTCATTTGTTTCAATAATGCATGTTAAAATATGCACCAAGGAATTTCAGGGCAGCTTTCATTTTTAAATTTCAAGGATCATATCAGCAAAACAATAATAAACCCTAAGAAAATATCCACTGATAGATTGAAAAGCAGATATCGGTACAGAAGCAAGCAAAAGCACTTATCTTGTAATTAGAAGGAAAAATTGACAACCACTCCAGCACTTATGTGACAGCTATAGCTTTAATTATCATGCTACTAATTCTCAAAACATGTTCACTAGATTTAGCACTAGATTCTGAGCTTTGCCACTCTGATTTCATAGGACAACTAAGCACTGCTTTAGACTGGTGCCACGATATTTGGATGCATACGGTTTTCTGCAAAGATAACTAGATAAGAATGTCAGCCATTTTCAATTTTATCTCTCGTCAAGAAGAAAATCTAAACCATTAAACAATACATACACAATTGGCAACCAAGCGTTGACATGAGCGTGCCTGGTCTACATGTTTGAACCAGTTCCATACTTCACAACTTATAGTATCAATCAACATGATGTCATTAGAACTGAATTTATCTATGACAGTTTAGCATTAAATACTATAATCACACCTGCAATCTACAATCATTAAATTTGTAACATCAATTTGTTTTTATTCAAATTTCCACGCATACTATTCCTACATTGTTCCATGCATTTTCAATTCCAAGGTTTAACCGAACAATCTTAATAAACTCACCATTTAAATATTAGAACCTAAACATCCTACATTATTCCAAGCAGTCACATAAACAAAATAGCACTTACAACTTACAAGACAAACCAATCAATTCATAGAGACTGCCCAATTATTTTCAATTCAGATATTCAAATTCCAGAGTACAAGTATTATGACATGTAGAAATAAATTGAAAAAAAAAAAAGAAATTGCTACTTTACATACAGATTTCGATGAATCTCACCAATACTAAATCTTCTTGAACTTCAAAATTCACTCCACAAAAAAAAAAAAACCATTTGCTGATTCCTGATTGAATAAAAAGATTTCAACTTTGGGACAAGTATTCTTGTTCATCACCATTAGCAAATTTTTGCTTGAAAGAGTCCTGCCTTTGCAGCCACATCATATGCCTCTTCAAAAAGAAAAAAAAAAACCCAAAAAGTTTAAACAAATATGAAAAGGAAACCCTAAACCCAAAAATTCAAATGCAATAGAAAAATTGATAACCCAAAAAAGGGCAACTTCGCAATAAAAGTTACAAAAATTTTTACCTGAAGAGCAGCAGCCCAACCAATGAGGAAATAAACAAACCAGAACCTTTTGTCCTGGATATCTTTGGCATCAAATTTTGTCATGAAGCCTCAATCCTAGATGCCTTTTAGAAGTTTTTTGTAGGGTTTTTGGATTTGAGTGAGATGAGTTTGGGGTTTTGTTGGGGTAGAGTTTTTCTACGGTTTGTTTCCCTGCAGTTTGATACAGTTGGTATGTGATACTGCATGTCATCAATAGAATTTTCCTTTTTCTTTTTCCCTTTTTCTTTTTTCTTTTCTTTTGGTGGTGACTAGTGAAGGTTCAATTGCGAAACTCGCTTGATATAATAAAACTGAAATAAACTTAATCAGGTTTGAGGTGTTATTTTTTGTTCTCTAATGATCACTTTTCTTTTTTGACCAACAGTCCATTTCATGAAGGAAATAATTGTAATCACTATAAAAAAATCTTAAAAAATTATTTTTTGGAAATTATATTTTTCTGGCTGCCCTAAGTGGTTGGGTTGGAAGGATAAAAGTTGATTTATGTTCACGTTGTAGCGTGAGATGTTCTTATCACCTAAAACTCAAAACTCTGCTTAAAAAAAAAAAAAAAAACTCAAATATTTGAACGATGCACTGATGCTTTGTTAAGAAAAGCTATGGTTCAATCATTTCAAGCTAAACTCTTGAGAAAAATAATAGCTTGTTTACCCTTTTAGATGTGCAAGATGTTATTCCAAAGGGGGGGAAAACAAAGATGCTAAACAATCAAAGCATGTTAAGACATTCTTCATTTTTGTTAATGACTACATTGTCCAAAATGTTAATGAATTATGACCTTGATCATCCTATATTCAAAAACATTCATTGATGCTATTCGATTTATGCTTCCCGATATTCAGGGTTGCTTGAATAAGAATCATGTCAACATGGTTGAAGAATATCAGCCAAACTACTCCATGACAATATAATTTGCCCACCCTCCAGCTGTTCCTGGCCTTTACACTCTGTGTAAGGTCATATGCTAACGTAAATTGCTTGTCATTAAGGCTTCTATAATAAGACCACTCTATCTATACTGCTGTAGGTTGAACCTAGTTTTAAGATGCTCTCAAAGTACATAAAGTCCCTTCTTCATAGGACACTTAATAGACTACTTCATACAAACAAAACCAAGTTTCAATCAAAATGACAAGATGTTTTGCAATAAGAAATGATTTGAAGATGGCTATCACTCATCTGATTGCAAGTCAATAAAGAGGGATTGTATATGAAAGCAACATCTGTAACGAATGTAAAAGATTAAGATAGAGCTTGGGAGACCCATTTCTTAGCCTTTGAGATGCACATACTGAAATAGGATAAAATTTTTAGGTTCAGAGTTCAACTTTTACCTAGCCTATAAACAAAAAAACTCTTGATACAGGATTCAATCCAACTAGAAAAATGTAGATCTGACTCAAGTCCAGATGCCCTTGAAAAATACAATGCTTGTCATGATTACCATTGATGAATATAATTTACAAAAGCTTAAAATCACAGGCAGACAAAACATGAACTATGAAATGCATACTAAGTTATTAAGGAATATTTAGCATGTGCATTATATCCAAAATACCTCAAAACATCAATCTACTCACTAAAGCTATATTTTAACTCATGTCCTAATCTGAAATTTTTTCAGAAACAGTTTAAAATAAAAACCGAACAAATTGCCTCTCGGAACACTGCATAGGACACGGCCCAAAGGATGTAAAGGATAATCAAATTCCCAGCACTGCAAACAATCCACAAAAGCAAAATACCAAATACATAAAATTTCAAACTTGCAACTTGCAAAGAATGTAAACCAGCAATGCTCTATCTTGTACCATTCCCATTCACCAGCCATGTTATATAAATTCAACCAAATTGACTGAAACCCAATTAGACCCGAGTCATGAAATTCCATTAAACATAAAGCAAAGCCGATAACCCTTATAATAATCATTACATAAAAGTTCAAGCAGCAGGAAAACGTAATGTATAAAAACAGAAAACAATACAATCAAATGCCTTAAACATTGAGAACTGTAGAGAAACAAATGCTATCATAATACCTGAAATCCTCTTGGAAAACTCATCCCACCAATCCAAAGGCTGAGGTTGAGACCCAAAAGGAGAAGCAACAGTAGCAGAAAAAGGAAAGACATTCTGGTCAACCACCTTCTTGTCTGATGCTTTCTTTCTTCTCTTGAACCCTCTAATGGGTCCCATTGAAAGAAACCCAACAAAGAAACACAATCCTTTACATGAGTTAACTTAAGAACTTGAAAGAACCTATCAACAAAGATCAAAAGAATCTCAGGAAAGAGATTCAGTTTGGCTTTTTGATTTTGTTTTTGTTTTGTCTTGGGTCTTTAAAACATGCAATAATAAGTTGTTGAATGAAGAGAGTCGGTCAAAAGAGATGGCGAAGAAGAAACAAAAAAATAATAACAATAAAAGCCTTGAGAAGGTAAACAAAAACCAAAGCAAATAGTCTTGGTACTATGTAGGCATTAGGCGAGTGACCTGAGGTGAATTTTTTTTTTTTTTATTGTTAAAGGGAAGAAAATGTAGGGGAAGAAAGATGAAACAACTTTATGGCTTTTTCATGGTCATGGACGATTTTTATTTTTATTTTTTAATTTTTACTAATAGTGTAATTATTTTCTTTGTAAATTGCATTATTTTTGTTCTTTTCAATATAAAAAATGGTATGTTACATGATGAATATCAGTTCATTTTCTATAATCCATATGGATAAATAAGAGGTTCAATATTAAACATTCGATACAATCATGGCAAGATTTTATAGATTAAACTATTTAATATTTTTTATATTTAAAATTATCAAAAACTAAATTTTGTTAATTAAAAATTCAATACTTAATATTATTTTTATTAAATGTTTATAATGTTATGAATTTTAATTTAAATAAAACTAAAATGCTATTTTTCTTTAGATTTGTTCAAAGACTAGATTAATATGTCCAAACTTAAAAGTCCATCTAAATTATGAGAGAGTTTGAATAAAAAATTAAAATATATTAAATGATTTTGTATATAATTTTTAAACTTGTTTAAATTTCTAAGTAAACTTTGGATAAAAAATTTAAAATTCAAACTTGACCAAGCTCAATCTAAATTTATATATATATTATTTATATATATATGAATTATATATAAATTAATTTATATATATACAAAAATAAAAGATAAATATTATATAAAAATAAAAATTAAGTTTAATAAAATATATATAATTTTTATTTTTAATTTATATACATGTGTGAATTGAATATAATTTCATTAAACTTAATTTAATCATAATTTTTAATTTTTTTATTATATAAATTAAGTTTAATAAGTGAGTTTAAGATTTATTTTTTTAATTTAAATTGGGTTTGAAAAAATCTTCAATCTAAAATTTTGTAATTGCTAACAACACTTCCTCCTCGTCTATTCACTTTCTATTTTTTAATTTCTATTTTTATTATAATTATAATTAAATAAAAAAAATTTTAAAAAGTTTTTAAAATGTCACATAAGGAGTAAAGAGTTGCTACATATTAACATATTAAAGATTTTCTTAAATTTTTTAAAAATAAATTAAAAAAATGTGATAATCACATGCCTTGTCACATACATCGTACTATCTCTTACACTTTGTTGAATCGAGAGAAAATGAGGAAAAAGAAAGGAAAGAAAAAAAAAAAAGGAAAACAAAAAACCTTTCCTTTATTATCATTTATATTTTAATAAAGGAAAAAAAAAAAGAAATTGAGCATCATCTCTTTTCCTCAAAAGCTTCAATTTTCAATTATTCAAAATTAGGGCAAACAAAAAGGAGAGAAAAGGATTAAAATTTTTTAAATATAAAAGGACTTTTATGTCTTTATCATATTTTATTATTTTTCAAAGAATATTATTATAGTATATAAGTTTGATTATTGATGTTAACCATTGATGCTACCTTTAAATCTTTTGCAACTTATCCCTTAACTATTTTTTTGTCAATAACTTTGAATTTTATATATTTTTAATTTATGTTTAGGCTTTATTTATTTATTTTTCATTTTGTTTTGACTTTATAAATTCTAAATAATAAAAATAAAAGAATATAACAAAACATGTACAACGACAGGAAAATGTTAATACTAAAACAAATTTATGGTTAGTTTAATGTTAATAATAAATATTTAAGTTTTTAATTTTCTCATTTATGGATTAATTTTGAAAAAAGATATTGTAGTATAAAAATAATTCTAAATATATATTTTTTGTGAATTAATTATTAATAATATTCTCTTTAATTGAAATTATTTTTATTAATTTTTAAAATTTTTTACATAGTTAATATCAAGATTATTCACATGATAGAAAAAAATATTTATTTTAAAAGGATATAATTAGAGTAATATAATATATTTTTTTCCTTTTCTTTTCACAATTTCATCAAATAGGGGTTATACTCAGTCCTTTTATTTTTTTTATTCATTTTAACTATTCAAATAAGAGAATGAATTATCATTTCCTTTTTTTTTATTTTTTTTTCACTAACTTCATTCCAAACATAAGTTTAGGAAATAATTTTAATATGTAGTTATAAATTATAGATAAAATGCTTTCAATATATTTTAGGTAACATTTGGTGAATAATAATTGTGAAATTTGAACTTTCAATTATCTCATTAAATCTGTTATTAAAAAAATCTTCATTCTTTTTTTCCCACAAATGGTCCTTGGTATGTCAGATCGGACTAGTGTAATGTTTCGTTAAACGATTGCTGAGACGGTCGACTTGCCCACCCAGCGTAGCTGGTGGCAGACATCAACCAGAGTCAACATGAACTATATGACAAGGACTAGTTAAAGGTTTGGGCTCAGCCTTGGCTCTAGTCCATTAAGTGCAACAGCTCATGCTTGGTCGAGGCCTAGAACAACCCAAGTCCAGTATTTCTTGAAGTCCAAATGATATTCTTTCGGTCACATTGAAACACAGAAATTCATTTCTATTCAGAAACCCATCATTGTTTCAATCAAATAAAGAAACCCACGGTAGTTTTTCTAACGAAAATATAAATACCTAGCATATAATTACACCCCAAGATGATCAAGAACGTAGGTAATATCCTAGTTCTAGTCACAATCTGTTTATTTGTTTTTAAGTTTTAGTAACTTAAACATTGAAGTAGATGGAAGATGGTATAGGTTTAACATTTTTTTCATCTTCATGAACCTCTGAAAGACTTTTGCCATGGCATCATGGTCATGATTAATCCTTCATTTCCATTGACTCACAATCCTTGGCCCTTCTTGATCCACAAGCAATCAACTGCATTAGAACTGATGCTTTGATCCTCCGACTCGGGCGATCATTTTCAACAGTTTGATCTCTAATATCTGCTGAGATGTTCAAACTTCTTAGAATTTTTGAAATTGAAGTTGATAATGGTCGAGAAGGCTGCGGTCTATTCAGTTCTATAATGCTTTGAATTTGATTGACTTCCCTTTCATGTTCTTCAGCTTCTTCAACCCCAACTCTTCTTTGTCTTGCATTATCATCTGTCTGTGTTGACACACTGTTGCCTTCGCTGCTAAATCCCCGGCAGCTTCTGACCTTGTAGGTTTTGTTTTCATCAAGCTCCTTGAATTCACTCCATGAATAGTGTTTCCTTCTAATTTTTACTGTAACATTGGAGTCTTCACCTGACCTGTATGTTTCTGAGTTATTTTTGGAGATTGATGAAGTTGAAGTACTTGTTTCATAGGATCGAAAGCTCAGAGAAGTTGCTAGGAGTAGTGATCCTTTGAGAACGTATTCACAGCCATGAAAAGTGTATATGAAGTCGTTTTCAGATAAGTCTTGCCACACAAATCCATTCTTGTAGCTCCTGAAATGAAATTGTTACATTAACTTTTTCATTTCATTGAAGAAATACAAAGAAAGGAAACAGGATTGAGTCTTTGTCTGTCTATCTACCTTTTTGAAGACCAAGAATACCTGTTGGCCATGCCTCCCCCCCCGGAGGCTGTTTAGTCTATGTATAACATCTGTGAGATAGAGAAAATTGCAACAGAATTAAGTACAAATCATATAAAGTTTACTCAAATTTCAAGAGAAATTCATGTCGCCTTTCAAAAAGAGTCCTCGGGGAGAAGAAAATGGGACTTCCAGGAAATGAGGATGCTCAAGCTGACCATTGCGTGAGAGGTAGTAAACAACAGGAGCTTTCTGCTCCTTGTTTGATTTTATTTCAACCCAAACCATGGTTCTTTCAGGACTAGTTTCTCTATCTTGATATCTCTTTTGCGTTGCTAACTCTGTCCTTCCTCTAGAATTGGTTGCCATTAAATGGATGAGATAAGGCTTAAAACTTTTTACCAAGCTCAAATTTAGTTAAATGGTGCAGTGAAAATGATGCTAAGATAACTTCCTCAACATAAAACATTGAGTATTCAAAAGCTTTGACTTGGAATGCCTAAGATTTTGAAAAAATTTAAGGGTAGTTAATGGTAGACAAAAACGTTTTGTTGAATCAAAGGGAACAGCAGAGAAGAAAAGTGGGATTCTGCATATAAGAGCCTGGAAAATTAGCAAAGACAACTACAAGCAAACAGAAAGAAACTGTATGTTATGCCAGTTTCAAGAATGTTTGATCATTTGCAGAAAAAAAAAAATCAAGAGTCGACATAATTTCAAGGACGCTGAAATTTTGGTTACAGAGAACCTAACCTCTAATAGAGGGCAGAGGGCACAGGGCACAGTGACCTAAGATTAAAGATTTCAAATAACATACCAAGAAAAGTTCAAATTCATCTCTTGAATCACCCTCCTTGTTTACTTTCCTTCCTTTTATATAGCATGAAAACCTTTTTTCCCCTTCACATATTTGATCCAGTTGCATTGATTAAAACGAGGAGGTAATCTTTGAAAATCATGATTTATTACGTAAGGGATATCAGGAAATGGATAATTTATTTTAGACAATTGCTTCTAGGATCAAATCCCATCATGTTCCACGCACAAATTTGTCAATTACCAGAAGCTCACGGACCAAAGTGAAATCTGGACAAAGTTTCCATTTTCAACATGAAAAATCAAAGCCAGTCCCGTGAAACCATGATGCTGAAAACATGAAGACAATTTGACAAAAGCTCGGAACTTCCAAAATGCAATGGTGGAAGCTCCAAACAGATGAGCTAACCAGTCGCCAGTATTTGAGTATCTGATATTCAGCCATGGACGATGACCCCTACCAGCTTCCTCCATGCTGTTTAAATCTATTGATGCCTCAATCTATTCATTGTCCACATCCTAATTAATATTCTATTTATGCCATTCCACTGCAAAGGAAGTTTGCAATGAGTATCAGCTTCTATCATAATCGATAATGCCTGGAACCCAAAGAATTTTGTGGTCTTTGTCCCACTTCATTTTCTTACATACATTTATAATAAGGAGGATTAAAAGTATAATTAATCCACTCGTTCCCCTAGCCCCGAAAATTCCTCAGTGAAATCTATAAAATCAGCTTTCATGCCAAAGT